GCAATGAAACAACAATATCTAGGAAAATTCAAAATGCGTATACTCTCTGACCAAGGATCTCCCTTCAACAGTATCTCTTTCATAGTGCTTGCTGTTTACACAAGCACGAATGCTTATTAACTAAATGAATATGTATACGTATGTGTGAATACCAACATTGTTTGAAATATGCAAATTCTATATATTTTAATAAGTGATTGTTAAATTATAGGTAACTATATAGTGGATTTTTGTATAATGCCTAGTCCTGAAGTCAGTAATTTGAATGTGTTGATGTGGACAGATTTTTAAGTTGTTATTGTATTTACCAACACTAAATTTGGCACAATAGTTTTACAACATGAACATTTGTGTGAGTATATAGGTGTGTATATGCACATATTAATTTATACCCATTTATCTATCTGTCTATCTGTCTATCCGTCTATCTATCTATCATCTATCTATCTAATGAAATACATAGTCCCTGCTTATCACAGAACTTATGGGCTGGTGAAGAGAAAAAGTTGTGGTCCAATAATTACATAAGTATAATGTAAAATTTTAAGCTGACATGAAAACAAAAGGGAAAAAAATCATTTGATAAAAGCAAGCAAAATGAGAAGCTGGGTTAGATTGAGAGTTTAGGAAAAGTTGCCCTACAAAATGGGTGCTGAAATGGTAGCTACAACATCCAAGATGACTAATCACATTTAGTTGGTCAGAGAAAGGGAAGAGAAGAGGGTATTTCAGAAAGAAGAAAGATGTATTACACAGAACATGCATAAATTGCCACTTCTGGGAATGGACTGAATGTCAGAGTGGATCTGACTTTTCAATTGGTGTTTGAATACTGCTTACCCTTTTAGTTGTCATAGTTGCTGTTTTTAATATAAAAGTAGTTGATATTGGCATAAAAGTAAATTAAACTCATAGTGAACTCCCCTTCCCTCAAAACACTTGGTAGCTCTGCTATGGAGGACTTCAAGGACTGGCTCTACAGCACCTATCTCATCCAGGTATCAACACACAGCTGTTCAATATGAAAAAGAGAGGGGAAGGCTGGAGAACAGAGCTAGAAAAGAGATTTCCAATTCTTACCCCAAGATAGAACTAAGTGGGGTAAAAGGTGATAAAAGTTGTGGGTTTCATTTTTTTTATTTAAGCATGTAATGTACTAGTTTGAGGTTCATTTCACAGATTTTTGGGAAGTCATTTTCACATTGGCTTAAGGACTAAGGCTTGTTTTCCCCAAGTGAAAGAGATTAGACCTTGGGGAATTGTTACAAGGTTACTTACTCATGCAAATAAACACTGAGATCAGTAATTGTCCCCTGTTCCCTGTCCCTGCTTGCACGGATCACCACAAGTATGGAAACATTCAGGTCACTGGCTGGGACTTTAGTCCCAGAAGTTAAAGAGAGGAACAATAATGGCCAAACTTGGTAGTACAGATTATCTTACATGATGCATCCTTACTGAGGAGCATAAATACAGAACTATGTGTATGTGTAAAATTGCCATCTGAAGCATTCTGATATAGAGAATCACACATGGACATGAAAAGTGATATACAATTTCAGGGAGTTAGGTTTCTTGTACTCATCTATTAGTCCCATGGGGCTCCACAGACATGGTGGCTGTAGCCTTTTTCTTAAGAAGATCCACCTATACAGTGCCACTCACAGGACTAATTTCTTCAATAAATCTTAAACGCTTTAGGTTCTGAGATGTGTTTGAGATCTCTAAAATAAACATAAAATAAGAAATGACTTTCTACAAAGTTTTCAATCCAACAGTTTGGCCAACATAAACTGTCTAATGATATATATGACACACATAGTCACAAATACACCCACGTTTGATAAACCAATAGAATATAGATTTTTTCTTTTAGGATTTTACTATATGAGGTACCATATAGTGTGCAAACCTCACACATCCATACCCAAACCCACACAGAGATATTAAAAAAATAAAAATTTGTATCCTGAATGAAAACCGATCAATTTGTTCTCAGTCGAATGTGGGAGCTAATAACAAATGCCACGTCTGATAAATATGTTAACATTTTTTCCAGTAGTACTTCCTGTGATTGATTGTGATTAAACTTGCTCTTTTCAGCTTGACTCCCAAGGCAGGAATGTACAAAGAAAAGTATCCTTATCACATATGTAAATTATAAGACACGCACATTTCAGAGCAGAATTGGTAAGAAACTGATACAGATCAGTTATTGGACCTCACAGAACAAAAGCTTTCTGGATTTCACATCCATTTAAACTTAGGGACTCCAGTTCAAGCACAGATTAATTATAAATTATAATCTAAGGACATCTGAAATAAGATCAAGGGGACAATCTGAATAACACACCCAGATATGCATATGTATCCCACTTCATGCAGATGAGCCATAAGTGAAGTGTTTATCATGTGTCATATATCTCAGTATCTTCTATAACTTCTGAACACATCATAAAAATAAAAACAAATTGTTCACTTAAAGAATATATATATACACTCATATATGTGTGTATATATGTACGTATATATATATATATATATAAAACTGGCATATACTATATAAAATATGAAACCTGGAATATAAACAATGGATTCCCTATACTTAAATTTTGAACAAAACAATAAAGAAGGGATGGAAAACAGGAAACTATTTTAACCAGGGAATGGGAAGAGATAATGTAGATACATTTTTGGAGCAACTGACCAATCTGGAGCCTGGTTTTGATTAATGTACTTTCCAATCTTGCCAGCTACATTTGCTTACTCTTTGCTACCCTGACCTTTGTGTTCCGTCCTTTGTTCCTCATACTCTCTGTTCCTTTTACTTGGAGCTATGGTTATTGACTGTCTTAGAGATAGAGAACAGGGAGGAAGAAGGGTAGGATGAAGGAGAGGGTTAGACAAGGAGGGAAAGAGATATATTTTGGTACCAAGACAATGTCAGTTTTTTTTCACACTGAGATGAGTCGTGTTATACCTAGACCCTTTATTTCAATTGATAGGTAATTTTTTTTTCTGGTTTGTTTTGACAGGGATAACGTTTCAAATGAAATCCCTTTATTGATTTTTCACCCTTGGATAGTTTCTAGAGATGCTGCTCTTGCTAAATAAATGAGTAAATAAATAAATACATAAATGTAAAATTAAATAAATAAATAAAATTAGAACTGATGTATTTCATGCCTTGTGAAAGCTGAGCCTGAGATGACATGTTGGAATTATCAACCACCATGCTTTTGGGGAACACAGAAATAACATTAGGTTTATGAAAATGTGCAGGTCAGTGACAGCAATGGCCATATTCTTTTTAGGATGTGAGGTTGTGTGCATTAGATGACACAAACCAAAAAGCAGCATTATCCTCAAAAGCTTGAAAATGAGAGCAATCTGTGCTACTACCAATTCCATCCAGAGCTTCCCAAACAAGGGGTGTAGTCATGGGAAACAGACCTTAAAGCTCTTTCATTAGTTTTCTGTTGTGAGATTTTATAAGTTCCACAGATCAGCAGCATAGGTTTCGTCAGGGAATTTGTTAAGAATGAAGAATCTTAGGCCCCTACTGAATACTGATTCACATCTTAATAAGATCCTTAGATGGATTGCAAGGAGGTTAACATTTGACAGGTGAGGCTTTAAAATTTTTAGGCAACCTTCATAGTGAGGCAATATAGCTCTATGCATTCATTGATTCAGCATACATTTGGGAAGCTCCTTGTATATGTAGATGTGGTATGTGCTGGAGATAGAAGACTGAACCAAGATATGTAGTCCTTGCTCTCATAGCACTTATAGACTGGTAGGCAGGAAAGGTTATGATGACATAATTACGTTGTCATCATTGTAATCAATCAAATGATTGTGATAATTTCCAACTGAGATGGAAGCAAAGATCCTAAAGAAAGAAACAGGGAAAGGAAGGAATGAAGGAGGGAATGAAGAAAGGAAAGAAAGAAAAAAAGAGCAAGAGAGAGAGAAATAAACCAGGTTAGATTGGGACTTTAAGAAAGGCTTCCATAATAAGTAAGTGCTCAACCTACATTGTTTTCTCCTGACTGAGTTTTGTGAAATAACACTTTTATTCTCTACGCATATTTACCATATGCCCTGCAGCTATTATTACTTAACTTTCTACGTTTTGGTTTTCTAATCTGTAAAATGGGAATGACAACCTACAAAGTTGCCATGAGGATTAATTGTGATAAAGTATATAAACTGCCTGGCACAATTTCTAGTACAGCATAATTGCACTGAATCACGGTTAGCTACTGCAAGAACTACTAGTTCTGACTTTTATTTTACAAAGAAAGTGAGCTATAAAAGCTTTAAGTTGATTTTTCAAGGTGACACAATTAGTAGGCAGTTTTTTGAGACATTCATACATGGATATGAATCCTGAATCTACAACCTACTTCTGCAGACGTCTTGTACCTGAAGCCACAATCTCCACAAAGTGTAGCCCCTCACTAACATACCTAACTTAGGCTGATTAAGAACCACCGAAGGGTAAGCCATTGATTCAAATGACTTCCCCGTCTTGCTGCCTATCATGGGGTACACATGAGTTGATTCCTTTTTCTTGTTCTTTCCAAGTGTTTTATGAATTTCTGAACAAGACAGTGAGGCATTGTCTGTCAAAATGAGGAAGCTGAAAAAACATAAATCAAAACAAAACAGCAGTAGCAACAACAGAAGGCTTTAGAAATCAGAAGTTTTTTAATTTTCTCTTTACCTGGAAAAAAAACCTTGATTGTATGAAAAATGGTTCTAGTATTGTCATTATCCAAATATAAATAAATCTGGACCATATATATTATAGTACATATGTAAATATATGCACTTATGAAAATTATGCAGACATTCAGGATTACTGAGGACAGGAAAAGTCTCTATCCCCAAATGACTTAGATTATTGCCACTGTATCTGCATAGACTTGGTTAATGACAGATTGCTAAAACTAGTATTACTATGAACATTGGGACACAGTTGATTTACTTACGACCATCCACAGTTCTGGCCTCGAGATGCACGAGGTCTGGTTCCTTGTTTGACCCCATCACAGACCTGAAAAATGGAGAAACATAAAATGGAATATCCACATTAATAACTATACGTGTGCCTCAGTGAAGCCCACAGACTATTAATATCCATAGACTTCTAAAACCACAATCCTAGGACTAGATCTACTCTATTTATGTGTATAGCATGACAGTAAAATTTCCACTTCAAATAAAATGATAATGAACCTTTATTTGTTGAAGGCCAGACTGAATTCTAGCAAGGATATTGTGTTATTAGCTCAGACTAAGTCCTCCATGTGACATACTTGTATTTCAATAATAACCCCACTGACAACATATTAAACTTTCAAGATTTATTGCACAGATGCCAGGCATGCTGCTTTTTAGCTGGTTGACTTGAACAGTGATTTACATGGCAAACTGATCTAATTAAATTTTTCACTTGAAATTTGCAGCAATATCTTTGACTGCCCTCTGATCTATGAACAAATGACATGACCCAACCAATGTAGCAATAACTACGAGAGAACATTCTCTGCATTGTTGAATCCATGTGACCCAAAAAATGCAGATGGATCTCAATTTCTGATGTGTCCTAAAGCCATATGTGTAAGTAAAATAAAAGCCTATTTAAAAGTCCTCAGAGGCACGTATTATTTTGTATAATTTTGCAGTGAGTCATACTGAATAGAAATAATTATTTCGTTATATAAATAAGGGAAATCATACTGTATCTCCAGATATTTTTATATGTGAGATTACTCAAAACTGGGATTATCTGTGCTTATTTTTTATAAATCAGTACTTGAAGAACTTTAATTAGTTCCACTTCTATATTGTCAAAAGTCTCCAAACTGCTCCTTCTGCCTGCCCCCAGCCCTTCAGTCCAGCCAACAAATCCATACTAGAAAATGCAGATCTGAAAAGTACACATTACCTTCAGGACTTAGTATGGTATACAAGACCCTACATGACAGGCCCCATCTCACTTTCACTGCCTCACCACCTGCCACACTCGAAGATTTTGCTATTATTGAAAGTGCCACATTCATCTCCCTGCTCCCCTGTGAGCCTCTGTGAGGTTCTGACTCTTATTTTAACACACAATGAAAAGTCACTTCTGTTAAATATGACCCATTTACAACAAGAAAGCATTTACAAATATTTATTCCACTTACAAATATTTATTTTGATACAAACCTTGTGAGATGTTTATTAGTTTATTATAAATAATTATTTTTGTCTGATTTTCCAAATGTGAGATCAACCCCTTCCCTCAACATGCCTGTGTACAGACCCACACAAATATGCACACTCACACACCAAACAGAGCTACTGAGGAGCTTTGTTTTAAGCACTTCAGATTCACAGTACTTGGCATATAATAAATAGTCAAATGTGAAATGAAAGAAGGAGAAAGCCAAGGAAAGATTAAAGGAAAGAAGGAAGAAAGTAAAGAACGGAGAGAGGGAGGGGAGGAGGAATAGCCAAAAGGAGAGAGAAGGGTATAAAGTCTGTGAATTCTTTGAAATAAGTAAATTAATCGTTGCCCTTGGGGGCATTCCCAGAACTCTTCATATTTGAATTCATTTTCCCGACTCAAAGAATCTGAGGCCTCGTTAGCTCAGTTGCTCTTCATCTTTACAAAAGAAGTCTCCTGAAGGCCCTATTATCACTGCTGTCGGTAAGTTTTCTCTGATTGATACATGGCCCTAAAATCAGTCTACTCTAAACATTAAATCCTGCTTTCTTCTACCTTGAAGCAGACATGCCCTAATAAGGGTTTTACAAATTTTCCCAAAGAGATATGTCACATGCATTTGGACATTTCATATTTTTTAAATTTTCCTGAACACAGAGGTGACACTTCTATGAGCATCTTAGTTAAGCACTGCAGTGTCGGTTGGGGCTGGTTCTCAATCTACTTCCATACACTGAACTGTTGACTGGACCCATAGGTAAACTTTTCTGAGAAGGTCTCAAATAATGAGCATTAAAAGAGAAAGTGAGCTGTCTAACAACAGTCAAACTAGATTTTTTTTTCCCCAAAAATCTTGTGTTTTGAGACAGGGTCTTTCTATAGTAGCCAAGTTTGGCTTGGAACTCACTATGTGTAGCTCAGGCCATTCTCAAATTAACAATGCCATCTTTGCCTCCTGAGAACTGGGAATACAAGTGTGGTTTTCAAACTATTAATAGGTAGTTACATGTTGTTCATTGGCCCCCTAACCTACTTCTTCCATGAAACGACCGTGAATTTTTATTTCCAGAAATTTGGCATCCCAGAAACACAATTTTAAAAACTAGTTACAGTCGTTACTTAAGAACTCTGTATTATCTTTAAAGGAAAAAAAAATCTTGTTTCAAGTAACATTTTCCTCTTATCAACTAAGGAAAAAGATGTAAGAGCAAAATAGAGTCCATGGTTTTTCCAAAATCTACTGTGGCTATCCAACCCCCTTACAATGCCTAAATGTTCTTCTATCTTTAGTAAAACAGCTACTACAACAATAAAACTTCACAATTATTTCTGCTTTAGCTGTGGCTCAGGCAAATTCTGAAGTGTTTGCAAACAATGCAAACTGTCTGTGCAGGTGCTGTTTTTAATGGTCAAGGCATTGCCTAGACACCTTGGGGAAGCACGTCACTGCAGCTAACCACCTGGTATCATTATTCTAGTGTTTGTACTCCCCAATGTTTTAGTTGGAACTATGGAGTCAGGCAGTTTCCTGTGTGTTTTAAGATCAACCGTCATTTTTCTTCTTCATCACCATCATAACCGTCATCATTGTCATCATCACTATAATCCTTATCATCAGAGTAAAACAACACAAATAGTACTGAAGCAAAAATGAACTCTTGGAGGTCTTAATTGAAGAATATTATCTCAAGACAGATTTTGAGCATCTCTATATAAACCTGTTTGTAAGTATGATCTCTAGTATTAAACATGAAGGGTTGGCTGCCATTGCTTTATGCGTCTAGATCACCCTGTCATGGTTTGTTATATACCTTGGCATTAGTGACTCTCTTACTACACTGAATTCAAAAGGAGAGTATCTTTTAATACTGAATTCTCTGTGCTTAGCAAAACATGGAGAAGGATGTTTCTTCAATAAATATATGAGCAACATATTTACACTGGCCAATATTTACTATTAGGTCCAATATATGAGGTTATTCAATTTTAAGATTCAGAAAGGATTTTCCAATGAGAAGATGAACAATTTGGTTCAGGATCTTTTAATTATAGAAAAAGACAATAGGTAGCTATATCTTGCCTACTGTGATATTTGAAGACATAGGAAGAAAAAACTTTTCACTTCCAAATAGAGATCTGGGACAGAAGAAAGTTCTGGAAACTCTTTGGAGAAAAATGGATTGAATCTTCCAGGTGAAGGAAGATCATTCTTTTTTATGATTCTATTAAAATATAAATTGACCTAGGCCTAAGGCCCTAGGTCAGAGACAGCGTGATCCATGTGGATGTCAATTAGTAACTTAACAGGCTACACCCAGTGTTTGTAAAGTACAGAAGTAGAAGATAAAATGAAAAGTTAGCAGACATCCAGTCATGAAACACATTTTGCTTAATGGTAAGGTCTTACATTTGATCCAAAAAACTATGGGCTGACAAATCAGAAAGTTTGACAAGTTGAAAGGCACATGTAACTAAATGGAAGAACTTCATTCCCTGTCTATGATGGGCATCCCTATCGAGGGAATCCATTACGTGATAGCCCCCAGGCCACTCCAGCCAGATCAGCTCCATTGACGAAATCAAGACTGAGCCTACTGCAGCCTTAACCCTCTGTGTTTCCAGTGTCTCAAGCTAATGTTTGCATTGATGTGCCATTTTGAAATAAAACCAAAGGATTATCAAAGTGAAGAATATGAAGCAATACAGACTGAGATAGTGCATTGGGGTTATTAGCAGTGCCGAATCAACCTTCTAAAACACAATCAACCCAGTGCAGCCTTTGCAGACACTTTCTACAGAGGAACTCAGAAACGTCACTAGTTTGTCATTCTCCTGGCATTTTGTCTGAGTTTATACTAGTTTAATATAGTGCTCAATAAATGCTGCAGAGCCACAAAATGTCCTGATGTAGATAACTGCAGAGCAAGTATTAAAAAATAAACACTGTGATGGTATAGCACATATTTATTCAGATTTAGAATTGCAGTTAATGGCACATGGGGGAATGAGGAGGGATTCTGCACAGGAAGAGAGGCTGGGAGGATGGAGACCCTGCCATTCTCTCCTTTGCTTTAGATGTAGCACTTGCGTGGCCACAGGATGTCTCTTATAAAGGAGCCATGGAAACAAGCAGCCCTGTCAGCAATCCAGAGAAGAAACAAAATGCCTGGCAGGTACTAGCACTTGGATTCCTTCTAAGCTGTAGCTATAGCTACCTGTCACCCTAGTCAGACTCTCAAACAAACATCATTAGGAAAACCCTAACTAAAAGTTGTAAGTTTTATTCTTTCTTCTAGGTAGTAGTACTGGGGTTTGAACTCAGGGTGTCATAATTGCTAGGCAAGCACTCTACCTTTTTTGTTTGATTGCTTGTTTTGGATATTTTTGAGACAGGGTCTCGTGAATTATTTGCCCATCCTGGCTTGGAACCACAATCCTCTGATCTCTGCCTCCTGAATAGCTAGGATTATAAGATGTGAGCAATGAACACCTGGCTACAAGTTTTATTCTTGAACAAAGCAGTTCAGCCTAAGGTCTCACCTGCTGCCCACCTAGAGCAAATGGGCTAGATAAAATTAAAAGTAGCCTAAAGGTAAGATTTTAACATGTCTCCTTAGCATAAGAAACATGTTTGCTTTTTGCTTCTTTTCTTCTGGCTCCCAGGGTGCTTCACTGGTTTCCCAGCACCAAAGGTACCTCCTATGAATAACAAAGAAATAGATTTCCTGCCTCTATAATGTGAACTAGCATGGCCAACAATCATAACCCATCAAGTTCAAGTTCTGTATTTTGTCATCCTTACTTCTCTAGCCATAAAATCAACATAACGTGTCACTAAATAC